CCGCCTCCTGGGTTCAGGCAATTCTCCTGCCTCAACCTCCTGAGCAGCTGGGATTACAGGCACGCGCCACCATGCCCGGCTAGTGTTTTGTATTTTTAGTAGAGACGGGGTTTCACCATGTTGACCAGGATGGTCTCAATGTCTTGATCTCGTGATCCACCCGCCTCGGCCTCCCAAAGTGCTGGGACTACAGGCTTGAGCCACTGCGCCTGGCCTGGGCCACATTTTTCTTATCTGTTATTTCATGGGTGGGCATGGGTTGCTTCCACCCTCTGGCTGTTGTGAATAATGCTGTTGTGATCATGGCTGTACGAACATTTATTCAAGACTCTGCTTTCTATTCTTTCTAGCTTTATGTTTGCATTTATCCTTGTATATTTTTTCTTTATTACTTTGCTTTTATTCTGAATCTGAATGTTCTTTTTTCATTGTTAACAATATAATAATTTAAAATGGAATGTTTTCGTTTGCAGTCTACATTCTTTACAGCAAGCTAAACAGTTTTGGTTAAATTTGTTGAAAACAGTATGAAAGCTTCAATGGCATTATGTCACTGTTTGATACATTTTCATTTTGGACAACATGCTAGTGGTGAGTAGTTTCTGGTCCAGTGAAATCCAGTTTTCAGATATTCCTAGTTTTGGATTCTCAGCTGCATATTTGAAATCCTCACATTCAGAATTCTTTTGTTCCAGAACATATATATTCCCATTCTTGTTTGTACTTGAGTCATATTTAATCACATATATTTGTAGTATGCTTAGATGTAGTAGTTTCTATTTTCATAACCACTTTTCTGTTGATCCATTATGGTGAATTGCAGCTACAAAGTCATACTGTGTAGTAGCAAAAACGCTAACGTAAGAAGTAAATAGTAGCAAGCAAAGGATTATTAAAATACCCAAGCCTAGTCATATATACCCATTTAGCTCAGTAGTTTTCAGCTATGGTAATACCGTTTTCTGGGGTGCATTTTTGAAATTTGTGAGAGCATTTTTGTTTGGCAGCATAGTAGAGGTCATTACAGACATTGAGTGGACAGGGTTTAGGTCTGCTAGATGTCTTGCAGTGTGCAGAAAAGTGCTGTACAATGAATAACTATTCTGTCTCATATGGTGTTTGAAGCTCCTTTAATTACTCAAACATCTAAAGTATTTTACATATAAACAGATCATTTTTTACATAATACACTACATTTTCTATGAATGGCACTGCTGTGTAAATCAAGGAGTGAGTAATGTCCTTTCATTTAAGGCTTTACCAAGAGCTTCCCATTTTGGTAAAATGCATCACCTATGGCGGTACTCCTCATGGTGTTGTAGTCACCATTTGACACACCTGATTCAGTTTGCATTTGTTGCTGTCACATTCGTGGTGATGTTTCATGTTGATGCAAGCATCTTACTGTATCATGATATTTCCTAGTATATTGATGCTCCAGTTTTAATGTTAAGTAGTGTTTTATTATGAATTAACTTCCTTTTCTTTATTCTCCATATTATAGTTAGGACATTGTAATGATTTTTTAAGTTATGTAGAGTATTAATATAATTTCAGTATAATGAAGAGACTTAAAAATTTTTATTATGAACAGGAGATGTTAGGTGTGGTAAACTTGGGACAGCAGTCCTTATGGCACACCCACCCTTTAAGATTACTTCAGGATTTCTGTGAAGTTATTAATCTTATACTTCAGATGTATATGAAAATATTATTTTATTGATTTTCCTTAGAAATTACCACATCATCTATCTGTTGACCACCTGACAAGTGATTGGGCAGTACTGGCGGTCCATAGACTGCACTTTTGAAAGAAGTGCCTTATATCCTGTCTTCTTGTCCTCAGTTACTGAATTTGCTCCGTATTCCACTTTATCAGATACCATTTTTTCCCTAACATTTTTTTTCTTTTGTAGTGACACGGTCTCACTCTGTCACCCAGGCTGGATTGCAGTGGCATGACCATGGCTCCACTGCACCCATGACTTCCCAGGCTCAAGGGATCCTCCCACTTCATCCTCCTGAGTGGCTAGGATTATAGGTACACACCACCATGCCTAATTTATTTTTTGTCAAGATAAGGTCTCACTATGTTGCCTGGGGCAAACTATAACTTTTATACATGGGCTGGATGCGGTGGCTCACACCTGTAATCCCAGCACTTTGCGAGACTGAGGTGGGCGGATCACTTGAGGTTAGGCATTCGAGACAAGGCTGGCCAACATGGTGAAACCCCGTCTCTACTAAAAGTACAAAAATCAGCTGGGTGTGGTGGCGCATACCTGTAATCTCAGCTCCTCAGGAGGCTGAGGCAGGAGAATCACTGGAACCTGGGAGGCAGAGGTTGCAGTGAGCTGTGATTGTGCCTCTGCACTTCAGCCTGGAGAACAGAGCAAGACTCTATCTCAAAAAAAAAATATTTTTAATACATGAATTGTCTAATACCATAGTTGTTCAACTCCT